GGGAAGGGGAGAGAGGGGAATAAGGGGGTGTGAGTTGGGATAGAGTGATGAGTGAGATGATCATTGACATGCATTGCATGGGTTCCAAGAATCATGTTCGCTCGCGCAACTTCGCTTCGCTCGTTGCACTCGCATTAACGCATATTCCGTGATCCTGTCCCGCTCCTGTGCAAACAGTCGGTATCATAAAGAACGGCAAAGCAAACAGTTATCATTGTAAAAAATAAATCTATGGGGAGGAGTGAAAAAAATAGAAAAACAGACAAAAACCCTAGTAATTTTTGACTCTGTCCCCCGTTCCGTGATTCTGTCCCGCTGTTGTGGTGCGTGCAATCCAGCATCCAAGGAAGGTCACTTCGTTGCCTCACAGCAGAAAATGCTCTAGTTCTCGCTTTGAAGTCAAAACTATGTTATGCGACCTGGTCAACTCCTATTGCGGTGGACACAACAAACTCCTGCAATCAGCAATAAAGAATGTGAAGATCCGCTAATGTCAAAAACAGCTTCATTACCATTACCGTTTATCAATATGGGCATGGTATGACTGATTATATGACTGATGTACAATCAGTCCGGCCTCCCGGAGTCGAACCAGGGACCTACAGATGTCTTTGGCATTGTGCCGCTACAGTCTGCCGCTACTACCAACTGAGCTAAGGCCGGTGACTTCATTGGGTACTGATTGGTATAAGTACGATAACTTAAAAATGGAAAGTTGCTCTAGATATTACAAAGGCCTTTGCAAACAGAATTCAGATTTTCTATTGCATTTCATATCAAGGCAAAATAAATAGTCGGTTTATGTCTACTCTATAGGTGCAATCAACATATATGGTGGGTCCTTGATTCAACCTACGCCAACCACACCAACACCTCCGAAACTCCATCCATGAATGGTTTCAACCCGTCACCCGCCAACATCTCTCGAATCTGGCGTTCGACGGGTCTCCACATTTCCACCGGGAAATAGGCCGCCGTGACCTCCATCCTCCCCGCCTCTGATCCATGGCCTATCAAAGACTGAATCTCCTCCACAAGCCGCGTCGGCAATGTTTTCCCCAGCCATTCCTGAACCTCGTGGTCTACGATGGTCTTATATCTCCTCGACACAACATCCGCGAACCTCTCTTGCCTCTGTTCCCCTTCGTTTTCGTTTCCATCAGCGGACGGCACCACGACCTGATATTGCAACACAACGGACTGATATTTGGCTGCCAACTCGTTCATAAACTCCACCGAGAACCCATTCAACACGTCGGAGCGGAGTTTATCGGCCATCTGCTTCACGGCGATGCGAGTTGAAGGGGCTTCTTTTGTGATGACGACGGCAAGGAACTCTTGGGCGTGGGATTTTAGGGTATCATCGATCGCTTTGGAGATTAAGGTGAAAGCGGGTTTGATGATGTGGTTGGTTGTGTGATGGAGGACGGTGATGAAGTCCGGTTTGGCGGAGGGTGCGGCTGAGTGCAGTGTTGAGTCAGGTGTTGAGTGTGCGTTTTGGAAGTCAGATTGCCGCGGGATGGGTGTGCAAGACGAGTGAGACATGACAGACAGGAGAATGATACACCATGCGAAGATGGAGTGGAGCGCAGACGTTGTTTTCCCTGACATCATGACGAGTATTGGGGTGGATAGCGGGATCTTATGTGCGGTTCAGTAATGTCGAGTTTCGAGCGTACTGGCATTGATTCATCGACTTCTCCCTCGTTTTTATCCTCCGTTGTTCCTTCGCGGCTCTCTTTCGCTTTTTCTTTTTTTTTTTTTTCCTCCTTTTCTCGGGATCAAGCCCCCATCCCGTTCGTTTGCATGTCGGAATATGAAAAAAAGAATAGGTACAATGTCCTTGTTCACAGCAGGCCACACGAAATGAAGACAGTCAGCTTGCTGCGCTTTGCCCATTACGAAAAATTGTTTCATCCAGAGGAAAAAACAACCAAATTTATGTTCTTGACCGCATCTTGACGAATGTGAACTGACATCCTTTATTTATCATACAGCCCAGAAAGCGCCAAAACGGAGAGCTGACGTTTTCGAATATGTTTAAACCTTTTGTTTTTCTCTTCCCTCCAATTCTTCAACTCTCCAACCTTTTTCGTTTTGTTTTTCCACAAGGACATGCCAACCCCAAATTCCAAACACATCCAGCAGCTCAACATCCTGCCCTCCCATCCGCTTTCCCCAGTTGGCCTTTCCCACTTCCCCCTAGGCTTCAGATCTCACAAAAAGCAACGAACAAACGAGGAAGAAAAAGGAATGAATCCATCCATCAACGAAAAAGCAAAAACAAAGCGAAAAAAGAGACATTTTACAAAACACAAGAGAAAGGGTGCGGCGATGACCTGGGCGCTGACCGTCGAAAGGAAAAGAAGCAGAAACAACAACACCCAGCACAAAAAACACCCAGCAAACGTTTTCCAAATTCAAAACAATGGTTTTACGTTAAAACATCCGTTGCAAGTCCACCGTCTTCAGAAAACGCTACACAACCCACACCTAAACCAGACAAACTTCTTCTTCTGAGAGCTACAAAAAAATCAAAAGAAACACGATCCTGCTCTTCTTCCTCATTCTGTTTTTTGGTCTCTTGCCACATACTCTCCAAACTCGAAAAACTACAAATCTTTACGTTGCTGTTGTTGTTGCTGTTGCTGCCCACCTCCCATAAACATTGGTTTGCCACCATCTGATGTTTATATGTATGATCATGATGAGGACGAAGGAGATGGGGGGAAGGAACATCATCAATAACTTCATCCATCATCCCAAAAAACACGAATCTAACAAGAACAAGAGACGGAAAAAGGCCTCACCTTGCCCCGGAATACCCATCGGCATGTTACCCGGTGGCGGCATAAACTGCGGGTTGAACATGAGCGCCTGCGGCGGCGGTGGTGGTAAATGATGTGGGTGTGGCGGGTACTGGGGAGGAAGCGGTCCTGGTCCACCAGGGTTCGGGAAATTGGGCGGTGGCCCCATGTGCGGATGATGCGGTGGAGGAGGTGGCGGGCCCATGTGGGCAAGCTGGTGGGGGTGTAAGTGCGGAGGTAAAGGACCACCTGGTGGGGGCGGGACGGGTCCCATCACCGGCGGTTGACCAGGTTGCCCAGGACCTCCGCCACCGTACGCCGCAGCGGCGGCGGCAGCGGCAGCGGCTGCTGCAGCAACGAGGTTTTGTTGATGAAGGCTGAGGAGGATTTGCTGGTATTACGTAACCGATAATCACTTACGTTAATTTGCAAGTTCGCTTGCGGGGAAAGAACTCTTGACAACATCATCGTCCACTCCACAGCAAAACGGAAGTACGCAAAGCACGCAAGCTACTTACTGGATCGATCCGTCCATCAAATCCAGGAACATTCGGGTTACCCGGCATAGGACCCGGCCCACCTGGCACCGTGGGCGGACGTCCAAAGAACAATCCTTTCATATCGGCGCCCGACAACCCAACAAGCTCTTCAGGAGGCGGCATCCTCTTCCCACCCGGTCCTCCAACACCGAAACCAGCCCCAGGCATGCCCGGGAATTCCAATCCCCCAGCACCTGCGCCCGAAGCGGCCCCGGCACCTGCTCCTCCGCCAATCCCACCATTTGCTGGACCAGGCCCTCGGGGACCCATTCCCGACACACCCATGCCTCCAGCAGGAGGACCACCCCGTTCCGCCGATGTCGGACCGCCACTACCACCAGACGAGGAACCGAGTTTCTTCGCGTTGATGCTATTCTGAAGCATGGCCGCGAGCTGCGATGACGGATCATCCGGTGACATGTTCAAAGCGTTGCGGTACAGAGACGGAGGTTGGGGATGATGCAAGTGCGGTGGATGAGATGAAGACGACCCAGAGGGAGGTGTGGTGGGCGTCGGCGGTGTGCCCGTTCTGGTAGTCGTCGGCCCTGCTGAAACGCCACCCGAAATTGGAGTTGTCGTTGTCGGGGACTCGAGTGTTGATGGGGTGTTGTTTGGCTTTGGAGTCGGGAAAACCGTGACAGAAGGAAAGGAGAGATTGAGAAAGGAAAAAGAAACGGTCAAAAAATTGTGTTTTCTCAAACAGACACAGTATATAAAGTCAACTATTTGTATGCAAGCAAGGAAGAAAGTACAATCGAGCCTCACCCCTGACACTGTCGATCGCGCAAGCATCGCCATAATCCTCTTCATCCCATCATCCTGCTGTCCATCCGCAGGCGCCTCAGTCTTCTTCGACGATGACGACACAGGTGGCTTCGCACCCAACGTCCTCAGCACCTCCTCCTCAGAGAGCATGACTCGCGGTTTGGCAGCCGAACCCGGAAGCGGTCCCCCACTTTGACCCGATCTACCTTGCTGTGGCCCAGGGTTGAGGAGCAACGACAAAGCGGAAACGGGGCCGGAAGGGCCTGCTGAAGAGGGCGAGGGCAATGACGGACCTCGGTTATCGGCGCCTTGTTTGACTCCAAAAAGCGCGGCAACACCGCTTGCAAGTGGTTCGCCTGCTGCAGTACCCGCAGGTGGTTGTGGCTGTTGTTGTTTCATCGGATATGGAAGGTTATGTTGGTGATAAAGGTGAGCTTCGCTAAAGCCTGGTATAGGTGGCTGTTGCTGTTTAGAAGCGTTCTCCATCTGTTGCTGTCTGTTGAGAACTTCCAGTGAGCTGTAAGTCGAAGGTGTTGGCCCAGAGGCCATGCTCAGGGTGCTACCAGAACCTGACCCAGAGCCGGATCCAGATCCGAATGGCACGAGACCGAGCTGCTGGTGAATTTGCTGCTGCAGTTGTTGCGCTACGTCCGTTTGGCTTGGGCGGCGACTGCTATCTTGGCTGTTAGAGTGGCCATTCAGAGTCCCGTCTTGCGTCGATGGTTCTGCAGCGTTGAAGAAGCGCCTAAATCGAGATTCTGTACGACTGCCGGAGGTTGTTGCCGCGCCAGTATTGGCTGCCGTTGCTTTCACTCCTGCCCCGCCGAGCATATCACCTGCGACTCCTTTCTCCACCGCGGCGATACCGTCTCCTGAAGATGATCTAACGATAGCACCATCATGTTGTGAGGGATCGTTGAACCAAAGGTTGAAGGCTTTCTGATTCAAGCCAAGACCAATGGCTTGCGCCTCCGACGCGAAAAATTGATCTACGACTTCCGTTTCCGATTTGCCAGCACCCCCGTTAGCACCTGCGGCGGACGTTGAAGTACCAGCACCAGCGCTTGTAGGCGTTTTCTCATCAGCACCACTTCCCTGCTTGTGTAAGGACTCGTCTGAACCAGCTTTGTCGTCAGGAGCGCCCCCTGCGGCACGGCGAGCTTTTTCTTTCATATGTGCCTTGAACTTTGCAAACTCGTCCACAGTCGCACCGGTGGATTGACCGTCTCCTGAATCATCATTTGAGAACCATTCCGGGGTCGAATCGCGACCGTAGGGACCCATCGGTTGTTGGTGGAATGGTCTCCGTTTGTGATCATGTCCCATATATCCACCATCAAGTCCGTTGCGGCCAGAAGGACCATTTCGGTTTTGAAAACCACCACCTAAGAAACAAGATCAACATGAGTAATTGATACCACTGTTTGCCGAACCACTTTGAGGTCATGGGGTATGAGGTTTGGAAAAAGAGAAAATGGCAACAAGTATTTCTTACCATCTTCTCGCCAATTCGACCTACTAGACCCAAAATCGCCACCACGTTCGTCCCTTC